TGGTTCCCAGCCCCAGGCCCCTCCTCTGCTGGGCCCCCTCCCGCCAGCGTCACCTCGCAGCAGCCGTGGCCTCAGCCTGGCCCTCTCCCTCTCCACACCCAGCCCCCGCCCTGGCCCCACATCCTGACCAGCCCTGCTGCTCCCAGAGAGACGCTGGCCTCAGTCCCCTCCCGGCCCCTCCAAGCCGGGGCGCAGCCCAGCTTGGCCTCCGCCTTCCCCTCTGTGAAATGGGGGTGGGCGCTCATTCCTGCAGGCATCTGGCTGCTCTGCCCCATGGCTTCTGCCACCTGCCTCTGCCCTGCCTGCCCTGGGGGTGGCCGGCAGGAGTGCAGTGACCTTGACCTCTCAGGAGCCCTGAGGCCTCTGACCATGACCCAGGCCAGTGCCTTCAGCTGGACCTGCAGACCTGGCCAGCCCCTGGCCCCCCACTGGACTCTGATCCAAATGCCCACAGCGTGCACCCCGCACACCCTTGCCCCTCCCAGGGAGTCAGCACTGACGGGTGCCTGACACAGGAACACACAGGTGCTGCCCGCCTCCCCTCGCCACAGGGCACAGCTTCCGGGAGTCTTTCCTGTCTGTGACACCAGTAGGCCCCCCATACGGATGGAGTGTGTTGCAGGGCTTCAAGAGCAGTTACACTCCGTGGGGAGCCCAGTGGGGTTCCCCCACCACAGCACAAGGGGCCGGGTGTGGACCTAGGTGCTACTGGAGCCCAACACTAGAGTGATCACACCAATGGCCCAGGTGCCCAGGCACTCAGTGGAGACGGTGGATGGCTGGGCAAACAGCTCAGCAGACAGACATGCACACAGGAAGACACACACACAGAGCACTAAGACAAGCAGCCGAGCCTAAGGGGACAGGGACAGGCAGGCACACAGATGAACAGCAAGCCACTCACCCACTGCCCCCGGGCACCCTCCCCAGGCTGGGCACACCAGCAGGCAGCCCTCAGGATGCCCGCTGGCCCTGCCCAGGCCAAGACAGGAGCAGGGCAGGGTGCCAGGCCCCCTCTGTGCCAGCAGGGACACGGGCATCTGGCCAGTGGCCACGCCCACGAGACATACCGGGGCCTGCGGCCTCTGCAGACGCCCACCCCGCAGCCCGCGCAGACCTCACCCGGGCGGGGTCCTGGGAGCTGGGGAGCCCGAGTCTGTGCAGGGCGGCCCCCGCGTAGTGCAGGCCCTGCAGTGGGTCCGGCCAGGAGCAGGTCGCGGGCAGCCGGGCGGGGTGGGTGCGGGCCGCTGGGCAGCCTGTGCTCCGGCTCTCGCGTCCTGCCTCCCAGTCTCTGAGTCTCTGTCCTTCAACGCTCACCAGCCCTGCCCCCGGCCTCGCTGGCCACGCCCCTCAGGCCCCGCCAAAGGTCGCTGGGGGGCCCCACGCCGCCAGGGACCTCCCTGAGGCTGGGGCTTCAGTGGGACCTGAGGCTGCAGGGGAAGGGGTGCGGAGCCAGGGGGCAGGGGTGCCCCTCGGGAGCTGGGCCCGGGTCCCCGGCCATCTGGGGGGACTTCCCCGCGGCTCCCGCGTTTTGTTTTTCAAGGTCTGAGCTCCGAGGGGGCGGGGCGAGCGGCTCCCCAGAGGCCCAGACCTGGGGCAGGGGTCCCGCTGGCCAACCAGGCGGGGTCGGGTCTGATACACAGTAGGTGCCTAATATTTATCGTTTTGAGGCCCCTATGGTGGTGCATGTGGAAGATGCAGGGTCAGTGGGGGAGGGTGACCTGTCCCTCCAACTAGACCCTGGATGAGAAAGGCCCCTGTGAGGAGCCGCAGGGGATCCCAGGGTGGGGGCTGGCCTTCCAGAGGTGGCTGTGGTGACAGGAGGGAGGTCAGAAGGCTAAGGCAGGGCTGGGCGGGCTCCCAGGGCAAACGGCTAGTCACAGCCCCCAGCCCCACTCAAGGAGGTGGAGGCAGGGGAGGTCTAGGCTGGGCCTGGCCCTGGAGAGGGCCTGGCAGAGAGGCGGCCTTGCAGGGGTCCGCCCTGCCCAGGGTGCCTGCCCTGTGGTGAGGGGCCCACGGCCGGGGTCACCCTCTGAGGCCCTGCACAGGGAGGGGCTGGGCTGGGGGTGCCGGGCCTCCTTGGCCTGAGCTTGGCCCCATAGGGTCTGCGTGTCAGGATGGCCATCCGGGCCCTGACCCTGCTCCACCCGTCCCCTAGGCTCCCGGGAGGAGGATGGGCTCCTGCCTGGCCTCCCCTCAGTGTCCGGAAGCCCCTTCCCCGCCCACGGCTCTTCCTGCCTCAGCGCCAGCCCACACTGAGGGCCTCTGGAGGGCTGAGCCGGGTTGCATCCCCGAGTCTCTGGGTCTTCTTAAGCCTGGCTCCTCTCTGGCTGGCAGGGAGACCCCTCCACGCCAGGCACCCGGCAGGCCCCACCCTCTATAAAGCCCCTCTAGCCCGCACTCATGCCCCCCACCAGGTGGGCCTGCCCTTGAGGATTCCCAAGGCTGGACAAGGAGCTGGACACGGACCCTCCAGCCCTAGGCAAGGCTGGGCCAAGGGAGGGACTAGCTTAGCAGGGCTGCGGGGTGAGACAGGCAGTGTGTGGGAAGGGACACAGATGGGCTGGGACATGTGGCAGGGGAAGGAGCTACAGGGCCTGATTTTGGAAGGGGAGAGCAGGAGGCACCATGGGACCGGTCACAGGGAGGGAGACAGTGCTCAGCTGCAATCTCAGCAGCTCAGGAGGCTGAGACAGGAGATTAAAAGTTTGAGGCCAGAGCTGGGGTCATGGCTCAATGGTAGTGCGCTCGCCTAGCATGCGTGAGGCACTGGGATCGATTCTCAGCACCACATAAAAGCAAAAATTGTGTCCCCTAAAAACTAAAAAATAAATAGTTAAAAAAATATCTATATAGTGTAAGTTTGAGGCCAGCCTTAGCTACTCTGCAAGGCCCTAAGCAATGTAGTGAGACTGTGTCTCACAAAATAAACAGGGCTGGAGTGTGGCTCAGTGGTGGAGCACCTCTGAGTTCAATCCCCAGGACCAAAAAAAAGATGAGGCAGGAAGAGGGTGAGGGCTGGGGCCCGGGCGGGGAATGATGGAAGGCTGAGGAGGCCATTTCGCTCCCTCTTCCCCTGTCCCCAGCCCAGTGATAACTAGGACAATGTCTCCTCCGGAAGAGGCTGGATGGGGGCCGCAGGACTCTTGACTTTCCGCTTCTTTTTTCAGTGCTGGGGTGAACCCAGAGCCTCACTCGTGCAAAGCAAGTGCCCCGGCGAGGAGTGGCAGGGTCTCACCAAGTTGCCCAGACTGGCCTCCAATTTGCCATCCTCCTGCCTCAGTCTCCCGAGTGCTGGGCTGACTGGTGTGGCCACAGCACCTCCTCTCACGGTGCCTCTGCAAGGTGGGAGTAAGGGAGTGTGTCCCTGTGGCGTACGAGAGGGGGGGACGGGCCCAGAGAGAGGGTGGCCCAGGCCACCTGTGGGACCTGACCTGGGGGTCTGGGCTCCCTCCACCTCGGGGCTGGAAAGCTTCCAGCCTTGCTTGGTCCCTACCCACACGCAGGCGCACAGGAGGCTCAGGCGGGAAGAGGCACGGTGGCCTCGGGGCCAGATGGTGGGAACCGGGGCCAGATGGTGGGAACCGAGGCCAGGCTCAGGATGTGCCCCCTGTGGCCACGGTTTCCTGCAGGGAGCAGCTATTCTTAGCCTTGAACATCTCCAAGGGAAGGAAGAGGCTGGGTGGGAGCTGGGGCAGCTGGGTGGGTGCAGGACCGCCCCAGCCCCAGCCTGCAGCAGGCCCATCTCCCTGACACACTGCGGGGCCACGCCCCCCGTGGAGCCCAGTTCCTTGGCTTGGCATGCAGCCCCTCTGTGTCCCTGCCCCAGCTCACCTGTCGCCCTGTCCCCTCAAGGCAGGCCTCGCCCTCTCCTGATGCCACTCCCCCAGGGTGCCCAGTCCTCCAGGGCCTCCTCCTTGGTGCTCCTGTGGCCCGTCTCCCTCCAGCGGCCCCACATCCTGGGCCTCCAGGTCAACACCTTGCTAGGACCACAGGCGAAGAGGAACCAGGGCCAAGGACATGGGTGTGCACACCTTAACAGCAGCCCTGGCGGCACCGAGCTGGGCTCCGAGTGCCCCCGCACCTGCAGTCAGCCACACCATCAACTCCGTTTCCACTGTGCTCTGGCCGGGTGACGCAGGCCAGGGATCACCTGATGGATGAGTGACGTCCAGTGGTCCCCACTCTGTACCAGCTCAGCCTGGCATGGAGGGTGCCCCTCTGAGTGTGGGCAGCACAGGGACGGAGCCCCAGGGCCCACGTGCTGGGCTCATGCCCCACCGCGCGGCTGCCCGAGCCCTTCTTTACAAAGCAGTCTACGCTGCCCGGTTGGCTTTGAACTTGAGAACCTCCTGCCCCTGCCTCCCAGTGGCCGACTGCAGGTGTGAGCATCCCTAGTCAGATGCAATGGCTGCCCTCAGTGGCCATGCCTGTCATCCCAGCAGCTCAGGAGGCTGAGGCAGGAGGATCACTAGAAGTCCTCCGCACTCCTGGACGTGGCGAACACTTGGGGAGGTGCCTGCACCAGGGGAAGCTGGGCACTACAGCTGCAGCCTGGGCAGCTGGAGGCAGGGCAGGCCTGGCATGCCAGGTACCGCCTGCTCCATGCCAGGCGCTCCCCATCACGAGAGCGACACACAGTCCTGGACATGGCCGGGCATCACCCTCCTGAGAACCCTGGCCTGGACGAGCAGCAGCCTGGGACACTCCTTCCTGGGGCTATGGGGTGGCCACAGCCGCCCTGGGAAGTGGGGAGTCAGGAGGCCCAGGGACTAGGCAGGCTCCTCCCAGAAGGGCTGCCGGCTATTTTTAGGCACGGTGGCTGTTTGAATGGCCCTGGTTGTGACACTGCACCATGGCACTCAGATGTCAGAGACAGGGCCCGGCAGAGCAGGGCGGGGCGGGGCCCTGAGCTGCTTGGCAGCACTCTGCATCACAGAGCAGCCTCATCCAGACGCCCTGGGCAACAGGCCACGGCGAGAGAAGGAAAGCAAGAGTTCTTCCCACCTAAGAAAATCTTTTTATAAAACAAAGTAAAATCATCTCCAGGTCTAACAGGTGGTGGGCGGGTCCTGGGGGAGCAGGCCCCTGGGATGCTGGGGAGGAAGGTCAGGAGTGGGGCTGGGGCTCCCATCTGGCCCTCAACCTCGACCACCTGAGAAAAGGGGATGCAGGGGGCACCTCCTGGGGGACTGTGTGGCCGAGAAATGCCACTTCCCAAGTGGGCAGAAACCCACTGAAGCCCTGGACCAGGTCACAGGGTCGTCTCCCAGGTGGTGGCCAATGTGTCCCATCACTGGGGTGGGGACTGATCCCATAGCTCCCGGGGCCCTGGCTGCACAGCCTGGTCTCTTCTGAAACGTGTGACGGTCTGGCCTCTGCTGCTGCCACCCTGAGCATGGCCAGCCTGTGGGAGGGTCCTGGAAGAACCTGTCCAGGGGCTGAGTGACCCTGTGACAGCTTGGTGGCAGGACCTTGCCCCACATCTCCCAGGACCAGTAAGCACCCCCAGGTCTGGGCCCCTCTCCTGCTTCCTGCCCAGCTGGCCACCCTCTGCACTTTCCCAGGGTGCAGGCTGGCCTCGGGCCCCATGCAGCCTCCTGGACGGGGAGGTCTGAGTGACTGCTGCCAGGGTCCCTGGGCTCTGAACACGTCAGGACACTGCCGGGTCAGCTTGTCCTGCTGTCTCCTCAGCTCTGAAGCAGATTTTGTGGCAACCCACTTCACAAACGGGAAACAGGTCCAGGGGCAGGTCTGCCTGGGGCAGGTGGGGGCTGGCCGTGGTCCCGCAGCCTCACCCCGCCAGGCCGGGCCCCGCCGTCACCGCCGGTAGCGGTAGCGCTTGAAGTGGAACCAGAGCTGGAAGATGCCGTTGGCGAACTGACAGCGGAAGCCGTGGCGGTGCGAGTACTCCCACTCCCGGTTGACGATCTTGAAGGCGATGTCCTCGTAGGGCGGCCCGGCGTGGAAGCGCAGGATGGCGAAGTCGCGGTTGTCGGCGCAGGCCTCCAGGAAGTACTCGGGCGTGGAGCGCTTGTCGATGAGGTCGGGGTAGAAGATGTTGAACTTGTAGCCCTGCACGATCTTGGGCGGCGGGTTGTCGAAGTCGTAGTGCGTCTGGTTGTACTTGTTCCACTCGAAGCCCGTGTGCACGCGGTTGAAGAAGCGCGGCTTGCGCGGCCGGTACTTGTCGGCCCACAGGTAGGCCCTGCCGGTCAGCGGCATCTCCACGCTGAACTGCGCCTCGTCCTGGCCCATGCCCTCCTTGGCCCGCCGGAAGAAGATGTCCTCCGCGCTCTCGCTGGCGTCTCCTGCGGGCGGGGGCTGCGTCACCCGGGCTCAGCTTCCCGTCCCTGTTCCCTCCCCCTCCGGGCTGCCAGCCCCGCCGCCCACCTGTGACCTGGAGCTGCTGGCGCGACAGCTGCAGGCGCTGCAGGTCCTCGTCGGGCTCCAGGACGTGCGCGTCCAGCGGCAGCTCGTGCGCCGTGAGCAGGCGCGGGCTGTACCTGCCCGCGTCGTAGTCGTCCAGGCTCTGCTGGATCAGGTCCTCCTCCATGAGCACCGCCTCACCCTCGCCCTCGCCCTCCGCCGGCGCTGCTGCGGCCCCCTCGGGCTCGGTGGGCCCGCCCTCCACGGAGGGCCCGGGCGGCGTGGGGGCCGGCTCCTCGGGCTCCAGGCTGCAGGAGAGCCCAGGGTGAGTCCTGCGCCTGGCCCACCCTCGCCCCGCCCCGCCCCGCCCGGCCCCGCCCCCGCCCGCGCCCACCTGTGGCTGGGGGACGGGGGCTCCTGCTTCAGGATGGGGAACAGGGGCCCGCTCTCCACGCCCTGCTCTTGCTTCAGCTTGTACAGCTTCTGCCGCAGCACGTCCTGGTGGCGCTCCCGGAGCCTGCCACAGAGTGGGCAGCCGGGCTGAGGGGACGCTCTGCCCTGGCACCCTCTGACCCGCTCCCAACCCTGCCTCTCTTCCCAGGAATGGAGGCCGAGAGCCTGCCACCCCAAGACAAGGCTTTTGGCCATAAGGGTCCATGGCAGTCGGTGAGGGGGGTGGGGCAGGGAAGGTGCAGGTCCTGTCCTAGGGCATACAAAACGGGGCAAGAGCTGAAAGCCCAAATCTGGGACTGGTCAGTAGGGCCCAGCTGGGCACAGTACCATGCCTGCCATCCCAGCAGCTCAGGAGGCTGAGGCGGGAGGATCATGAGTTCAAAGCCAGCCTCAGCAATAGCGAGGCCCTAAGAAACTGAGTGAGACCCTGTGTCTAAATAAATTACAAAGTGAGGCTGGGGATGTGGCCCTGAGTCCAGTACCAAAAAAAAAAAAAAAAGAAAAGAAAGAAGTGGGGGCCCAGTGGGACCCTGATCAGACACATGGGATTTGGAGGAGAGATTTGGAGGCGTTTGCACAATGATGATGGCAGACAGCACGGGGACCAGAGCTGTGTTTACAAGCTGCTGCCAAGCACGCTGGGAATCCGTACACAGCTGCGGAGGCCAGAGGCCGGCGGCCGGCAGGCTGCGGGGCCTGTGGAAGGCAGGCAGGGACAGCCAGCCCAGGGCTTCCTGTGACGCCTGACGCCAGGGAGACAAGGCACTGGTGGCTGGAGCTGGTCAGAACTTGTTAAAGGCCAGAGACAGAGCTGGGCCAGGTGGGGGTCAGAGGCTGACTCTTGGGGGCTGTGGCCCCAGCGTCACCTTCCTGTAGGGCCCAGGTCTGCAGTGGTTCCCAGCTAGGTCCTGAGAAGGGGACAAGGTGGTTGCGCTCACCTGGCCCTGGCCATGTGGGCACGCAGCTGCTGCAGCAGGCTCTCCCAGTAGCCCATGTCCAGGTTGGGCCCGCCGGCCCGTATCTTGCCCTCGATGCCCTGGAAGATGACTTGCAGCTGGCTGTACGTCTTCCCCTTGAACACCGACTGCACGTCAGAGCTGACAGAGGCGTTGACCCCCTCCCGGCGCTCCCCTGCAGTGGGTGAGGCAGGGCTGCTCAGCAGGCCGGCCCTGCCCCTGCCTCGGCCCAGCCTTCCCTCCTCCGGGCCACACTACTCGCACCCTGGCCAGATCCCACCCCAGAATGAGGCTGGAGACAGACAGATGTGGAGCACGGTCTTGAGTTCTGGCCCTGGGGCCTCTGAATGCTGAGTAGGGGAGGCTAGGCTGTGGATCTTGATCCCACCCAGGTGAGCGACACTGAGTTTGGGGACCTTAGCCTGTGGCTCTGGTTTGCAGACTTCCTTTGATACACCCTCCAGGACCACATGGAGGCTGGGAGGATGGGCCTAGCAGCCAGACTCCAGATTGTGGCTTTGCCAGTTCTAGCTGTGTGACCCTGGGCAAGTGGCTCACCCTCTCTGGGTCTTACTCTCCCCTAGAAAAGTCTTATGGATGACACTGCACCCTGGCAGGGAGAGCCACCCACGACATATGAGCCCCCTATTCCGCATGAAGCCTGTCAACCATCTACCACAGTCTGGGGCCAGGTACAGCCCTCCTCACCAGCTGGAAGCAGCAAGGTGCTGCCAAGACCAGAGCCCCACCTGCCCCACCTGCTCCCAGGTCCCCACAGTCCTGTGCAAAGTGGCCTCCCAGGGGCCTCCTCTTGGCCTCAGGCACGCACAGGCTCTGCCGTCTGTGTCTGGGCACCCCGCGCCTGCCTCCCCAGGTCCCCACGTGTGCTCATCGGGGGCCTTCCCTGCCTGCCAGGACCAAGGTGGCCTCCTGTAGCAGTGCTCCACAGGCTCTCTGCACCATGCCAGGTGGAGCTAGCACACAGCTGCAGGGGCATACGGCAGGGCAAGAGGGAACGGCCCAACTCCCCTGCTTGACAGGCTGCTTCTTCAAGCCCTGCTGGTAGGCAGAGGGTCAAGAGGCCACACGGGACTGGACAGGGTCTAGAAGGACCCCAGGCCCTCTGGCCCACAGACCAAGGACTTGGAATCAGCAACTAGAGACCATTCACTGTGCTCTGAGCAGCCCGGACTCCAGGCCCGGCGCCATCCCAGGCAGAGACAGTGCTGCTCCAACTGGGCAGATGCTCAACCAGGGCCTGAGCCTCCACTGCCCCCAAGACCCCAGGACCTGGAGGGGCTGCCCGTGCTCCAGGAACATGCCTGCCATCCCCCAGGTCCCTGGCTGGGGCAATGCTGGCCACGCAGTTACCTGGCCCCTTGCCCGAGGCCTCCAGCTTGCGGAGCTTGGAGATCTCATCCTCGGTGATGATGGTCATGTCCCGCCAGAAGTCCGCGTTCTTGCCCTGCTCCAGCTCCATGTACACCTGGCGGGGGGAGCCCCAGTGGCCGCGTCATTCCAGGGACCCTCCAGCCCCCATGGCCATGACAGCCCTCTGCCTCCGCCGCTGCCTCTGGAGGACACGGCTGCGCACCCAGCGCCCACGGCAGCATCCGGCAGGCAGCGGGTTTGGAAGTAGTTCCTGGATAAGGTCCTACAGGGACCTGGGGAGCAGGGGCCAGCGTGTCCTGAGGGAGGAGGGCGGGAGGGCGCGGGGCCCACGCACCTGGATGTCCTCCAGCAGGTCCTCCATGTCGGCCACTGTGAGGCCGTTGAGGAAGGTGTAGGGCTCGTGCATCTCCACGGCCAGGTCGTCGTCCTCGGCGCTGATGTACTTGGCCAGCAGGTCGATGGGCTTCGCCCGCCCATCACGGATGCGGATCTTGGAGCTGGTGGGGGCGGTGGGGTCAGTCAGAAGCAGCACAGGCTCCTTCCTGACCCCGGGAGAGCTTCCCGCAGGAGGCGGTGAGGAGCAGCCAGGAGGCGGAGCTGGCGTGCGCCCTGAGGAGCAGGCAGGATGGGGGTGGCTCCGAGGGCCTCCAGGGCTGCCCTGGGCCTGGCTTGTGTGAGGTCTGCAGCAAGAGCCGCAGAGGCCCTGAAGCAAAGGCGAGTCAGGACCAGAGGGCAGCAGCCACCACCTCCCCCTGGCGTCAGCTCTGCCCCCACAGGGACATGTTCGAGGAGCTGACCTTGGCCTAGCCCCGTCTGAGGGGGGAGAGGTGAGGTCATCAGGAGCAAGCCCCTTGCGGAGGCCCGTGTGGCCAATGGCAGCACGGCAGGGAAGGGGCCGGGCCTGGGGCTCAGACGCATGGTGTGTGGCCCTGGGCGGCGCCTACCGCAGCTTGGCCTGCTGCAGGTGGAAGTGGTCCTCCTGCTCCTCCCAGGTCTTGAAGTGCTCCGCCTCCTTCTCCCGCTGCAGCAGCTCCAGCTCCTGCTCCCGCAGGGCCTTCTCCCGCTCCCGCTCCAGCCGCAGCTGCTTCACCTGGAGGCCGCGGGCCGGGGGAGAGGCCGCGTGGGTGGCCGTGCCAGGGGCCCCCCGCCGCCCTCTCAGGTTTGGTCCTGGCCCCCCTGCCCTGAACACAAGGATGGCTCCAGAGAGACCCTGGGGCAAGAGGTCCCCTTCCTGCTGAACACCCAGCAGCTGGGAGTGATCAGGGACACCTCAAAGGAGCCCCTGGACCGCACACGTAAGCTAATCTAGCTGGCCTGTCCACCCGGTGAGCCGGCCCCCGGAGCCAGCCCCAAGCCCGTACCTTCTGCAGCTCCAGCCGGTTGTCCTCCTGGATCCTCTTGTTCCGCTCCTTCAGCTCCTTTTCCTCCAGATGGCTGATCCCCTTCTTCTCCAGGGCCTGCACAACCAGCCACATCACTGAGCAGACACCACCCGCCCCGAGCCCTCAGCGTCCCCCACCACCAACCCGCAGAAGCACCTGCTCTGCAGAGGGGTGTGCCCGGCCAGGGCGGTGCGTCCACTGATGCCACTGTGTGCCCAAAGCCAGCAGCAGCAGCAGCAGCTCGTCCACTGAGCTGCAGACCAAGGGTGCTGAACTGACCCCCCGCCCCCACAAGAGGCCTGCAAGCAGCTCTCAGGGCAGGCAGCCCCGGCCCGACTCAGGTAACGCGGAGTCAGCTGCGGAGGCCCGTGAAGGACTCAGTGCACCAGGATTCCTGACCACACGTGGCAAGGTCAGAGGCAGTGACACAGGGACCAAGGACCCTTGGATTGCGACCTTGCCGGGGTCACCAAGAGGAGAAAGCAAATGGTTCCCCCAACTCAAACCCAAAGGGCACAGGGCACGTTGAGGATATGGTTCTCTCCTCCGCGTCCCTCTCACTTGATGGAGGCGTGGGGGTGCAGACTCAGCATCTAATCAGCTCTGTCCCTGTGGCCCCAAACTCTCTAGTATCATCTAACAGTCACGACTGTTCAAACCCCAGGGTCCCAACTCCAAGAGAGGGTGCTCAAGATCCCCCCTGGCACCCAGAAAAACACACTTCCAAACGCCCTGGGGCGGCCTGGCTGAAGAGCCCCCTCAGTGGCACGCCATTCCAGGGACTCTCCAGCCCGGTGGCAGTAACAGCCCTCTGCCTCCACAGCAGCCATCAGAGAACACGGCTGCACACCCAGCACTAGGGGCAGCATCTGTCTGGCAGCAGGTTTGGGAGCAGTTTCTTGATAAGGGTCCACAGGGACCGGGGGAGCCAGAGGCCAGCATGTCCTCTCTGGAAAGAGAATATGTCAGCTGGGAACTGAAGGACCAGAAGGGCCAGCACGGAACGTGACAGGGCACTGGTGGGGGAACAGTGGTGCCAGGTGGCTGGGGCGCATCCTGCACCTTGTCCCTGCACTGGGTTCAGTCCACACCCTACACTGGGCCCGTGGGCTTGCCTCGTGCAGAAGACGTGCAGGTGCAGGAGCTGAGACCAGGCCACCTGCTGTGGCTAGGCTTCCTGGTGACTGTGTCCTCCCAGGAGAGAAGCTCAGGACAGAGACGCGAAAAGAAGGTCAAGTGAAGACACAGGTATGGGGATGTCGTGTGACAACTGAGGACAAGCCAAGGGCCGCCAAGGGTCTGCCAGTGAGCACGTGAAGCCAGAGGGACAGGGAGGAACCTCGCGAGAGCCACCTCTGGCCTACAGCACGGCGAGAAAGCACACTGAGGTGTCAGCCTCATGGCCAGGGAACGAAATGACAAGCCACAGCACCTGCAGCCATGGAACACGCCTGCACAGTCCCCGTGGCGGGAGCTGGGGTGCGTGGTGCACGTGTGTGCCGTATTCTCCGGGACATTTTAAAACAGTGTCACTGGGGCTGGGTGGAGCTCGGAGGTTCAGCAAGGCCCAGCCTGTGCTGCCTCCTGCTGGGTTCAATCCTAAATGCACCCTATCTCAGCTCCGCCCAGCCAGGGAGGACCAGGGCCTGCAGGGCGGCCGCGGCTCACCTTGTTCCAGATGAAGGTGCCCAGCAGGTTGTTGTCACCAAAGGGGTTGTCGGTGTTGGTGTAGCCCATGTACTCCTCGCCCCAGCCCATCTTCTCACGCTTCTTGCGCTCTTTGGCCTCCTTCTTGGCCAGCCGCCGCGCGCGCTTCTCCTCGGGGGTCTCGAAGGCCTTCAGCAGCTCCTCCTGCTGCTTCCGCTCCTCCCGTAGCCGCAGCCGCTCCTGCAGGCTCTGCTGCTGGCTCAGAGCTGCAGCCATCGCCCCAGGACTCTGGGGGCGCCCTGGGGACGCTGCGCTGGATGCTAAGGAGCAGGGGGACCAAGAGCGCCGGTGCCCATGGTGGGCCCATGGGCCCTGCGGCTGCTCCTCCCCAGAGTCAGACTGCGAGGACCGGTCCCGAGAGCACCATCGGGGTGCAGGGGGGCTCCGGCTTCGCCTCCCTGGGCGCTGCCACCGTTCTTCCTCCGATTCTGACCTAGGGAGAGCGCAGTCAAGGCCCGCTTAGTGCCCGCTGCTCATGTCTGCTGGGAGCATGCTGCTGCCAGGCACTGTCCCCAGTTCTGGAGACACAACAGTGAACCAAACACTGACCACGACTTCCTTCTTGGGCTGGCTACCCAGGGTCCCACCCCAAAACCACACACCCCAGCTCGTTTAATACACAGTGATGAGAACCGCAAAGAGCAGTGATTGAGGGGACTACAGGTTAGACAGGTCAGGGGCCTCTGAAGTGGTGCCACGCAGCAGAGGCCTCCAGGAAGTGGGGAGGGAGCTAAGGGGACATGTGGAGGAAGAGTATTCCGACAGGAGGAAGAACAGAGGCAAAGTCCCCGAGGAAGAAATACACCTGGCATTTCAAAGATCCGCAAGGACACCCTGCCCTCTGCCAGGAGGCCAGAGAGGCTGAGGGGGGCGGGTGCAGGGAGAGTGGGGGTTGGCTGGGCTGCAAGGGTGTGAACCAGAGAATCCAAGTCGGCCACCCAGTGAAAGCAATGTTTAGATTGATCTAAAGGACGGCAGGAGTCAACCACGGGGTCCCAAGGTGGTTTCTTTAATGTCTTGGGTCTTTGAAGGCAGGGAACCACTACTAAGCACTTTTTTTGTGAAAGGCTTTACCTATTCAGCTCTTGTCAAAAACCCAAACTTTGAAAACCAACCATCTTGGGGGCTTCGAATATTGACTACAAACTTGATCATGTTAGCTCATCGTGAACGACATCAACACTAATCACCTGTCTAACAGCCAACCATCGTAAGTGACTCAAACACCAGACCACAGTACAAGAAAAAGACCAAGGTCGTGACAACAAGGCTGGCCACTGTGCTTGAGCCAATGCTAAGTTGAAGCTCATTTAAACCAGGGTCTTACTTAAGCCCCGGGGCTTCAACCAGACTCAGAAACTTTGGTGCAAGGAACAGGATGGTAAATATCTTGTTTCGACTGCCACACAGACTACGACACAGCACCCCGTGGCCGTGTTCCACCAGAGCTGTGTCTCCCCACACGCAGGTGTGAACTTCGTGTGAGCCTCACAGGTCACGGATACACAGCTGCTGCTCTTGGTGTACCGACTACCCCTGGCCGACCTCCAGGTCAGCTCTTCCTTTACACTGTGACTTGGATCTTCCTGGAAATCCTGGGTGGCAATTCATTTACCAAACTCAAAGGGAAGGCGGAAAACAGCTGGAGAAGCCCCGTGGAGACCTCCAGGGCACAGATGGGTCACCTTGGGCCACAGATGGGCAGGAATGGCCCCAGCATCACCACCACCTAGAGCTGGGCCAGTACGGGGACCCAGGTCTGGGTTCACTGCCCTTCTTTCTTTGGGCCAGGTACACTCGTGGCAGTCTGGTCAAGCGCCCATCTCCAGAAGAAAAGGACTGTGGGCCCGGGGAAGCTGAGGCCTCGGCTCCGGAGTCCACCGCGGTTTTTCCCTTTCACACCCCGTCACTGGTAAGGGTCGTGGCCTCTGCGTCTCAAGTCCCTCCCGACTCCACGCACTTTCCCACTATGCCTCCCTCAGGGCCGCCATCTTCCGGGGACGACTGGACCACCCACCCTGGTGCCACTCCGGCCAAGCCCCTCAGTCCCGGCCCGCGCGTCAGAGGTGACTGTCACTCCCCTACTCCAGACTCCCCCCGGCTCCCGTTTCCCACAGCGACCAGCTTCCCGCACGCGGGCTCGGCGCGGCGCGGCCTCCTGCCGGCGCGCAGCCCCTCCCGCGGGAGGCCCGCCCTGACACCTCGGGGTCTCCCAGCTCCCGGAGCCCAGCCCGCGGCCGTCCCACCTGCGCTCCCGGCTTCGCCGTCTCCGCCTGCGCCGTCGCTCGTCCTCGCGGCGCCGCCGGCTTCGCCGCCCATGGCTCCTACTCCGACTTCGGCTCCGATTCCCGCTCTGGCTCCGCTGCCTTCGGCCCCTGCGCCCCACGGATCGCGAGCGCGAGCGTGTGTCTCGACCCATCGGCGGTGGCGGCGGCGCAGACGCAAACAACCGGGCGCGCGCCGGGGCCTTCCTCGGCCGCGTCGCGGGCGGGGCTGCCCGGATTTTGCCTGAGCTTAGAAAACAAGCCCTTCCGGCCTCTCCAGCCCGCCAGAACCCCAGGCTCCAGAGTCTCCCATCCGTCCGCGAATGTGGTCTGCGTGACGGACTCCGATTGGACTGTCGTCCCCAGAGCGGGAGCACTCTTCCTTCAGGCAGTACTGGAGGCAGCCCTAGGCGGGTCCTCACGCCTTGGGAGAACAGGGGAACTGTGGGCGGGGCCAAGGCGAACCCGGAACCCGGGGTGGAGGGGATCTAAGGAGGAGGCGGAGCCTGGTGGGCGGAGTGTAGAGGCGGGCCTGGTGGGGACGCGGCCAGCGCGAGGCCAGGGACAGAGGCGAGGCCCGGAGCGAGGTTTCGGGAAGAGGGGAAGAGGGGCCCTTGGAGTCCGGCTTGCTCCAGAGGGGGCGGAGGCAGCGGATCTGCCCCGGCGCTCCACCGCCTGGCAGCGGCTGGCTGTGGAGAGGGGGAGGCCTGGAGCACCTTCCCTGCCCCGGTGAGGTCCGCGGATGCCGGGGAGGGGAGCCCAGGACTAGCTCGTAGGTGGAGTTCCCTGGGGCCATGGGGAGTGCAGGCGGGGAGGGGCAGGTCTGGAGGCCCCAGCTCCCTGGGCCCCTGGCCGCTGCCCACCTGCAGTCTGCCTACAGCCGCCGGGGTGCCTGTTTGGAGGGCGGTATTTTTTTTTTTTAAGTTGTCAATGGACACGTGGTGCTGAGAATGGAACCCGGTGCTTCACACATGCTAGACAAGTGCCCTGCCACTGAGCCCCAGCCTCAGCCCCTTTAAACTAACTGTTCTAAATGCCTCTCTCAAAATACAACTCCTGTGCCGCAGTCTGGCTGGGCACAAATAACCGGGAGGTCACCAGCCACTTGTAGATTCAAGCAGGAATGAACTTTATTCGAGAACCCACGAGAACTCAACAGGATCTCCGCCAGAACTCAAAAGTAGCGGGCATCCGAGGTAGCAGGAGCCGCCTTATTGCCGGACAGCAGAGGTTTATATACACAACTGAATACACAGCTTGTTTCAATTTAGCATCATCCAGTTACATCAATCAGTCATCATCCCAATAATTATACACAGCTCAACTCAACCATCATCATCTTAATGGCTCGCTGGCGCTACCCCTCAACCACTCCTTCTGGCAAAATGCCAGGCACCATCTTGACTTGTTTGTGGCTCTCAACATCTCCCCCTTTTGTTTTTAAACAACAAGTATATGGCTTAGGGACCGTGCCTGTCTTAGGTTGTCTAATACTACATATGGTCCTTACCTGTCATCAGATGAGCTGACCTCAAGGTGTCAGCCTCCTGTCTTAGGTTGGTACCATTGCAATTGGATCTTACCCGTCATTGACTACCAGCCCAGCATTATGTAGCCATACTTGTGGATAACCTGCTACAAGCAGAAAGGGGAGGACACAAAATGCCACGACACCAAGCCAATTGACGGCCCCTTTTGGAAAAATTGTACCACCGTTGACACCATCAGCAAAGATACCTCGGCTCTACCACAATTTGCTGCACCAACAGATAGTTCACAATGCGTACAAGTGATACATAGTCCAGGCAAGTTCTGCAAGCAGTTCAAAGCAGAGGAATCCATTAGTATGTCCATTTCCTCCCAAAGAAAATCGACTCCTTGATTGACCATCACTTGTTGAGTTATTATTCATTGATGCATCAATTTATACAGTTTGTTGTGATAGCTATCGAAGAAGCTGTAGTTTGGTTTTATCTTTGTCTTCACTGACACTGGGATGAAGATAGGAATTCTGGCAATGATGGCTAAAAAAAATTTATGTTACATTCCAGCAGGCACTAAAAAAAAGCAATTTTCTAAATAATTTAGTATCATGAATAGAATTAGATATAATGAAAAGGAAAGGTGAAAGTAAACAAACAGATCTGTTAACCACATTTTAAAACAATTCTCAACAGCTGTTTACCTAATTTAAATTAAACCGTGTAAATCACATGAATAAAAAATATTTGGATCCATTTTTTCATGAGTGCTCCTCATATATGATATATGGACATACGCACATACAGATAACACAAAACACAAGTGTGCACACATAACACAATAATACAACACATGACATAATAGTAAAGGCCTTGTAGCTTTTCACAGGTGAAATCCCCATTGCAATGTTTAAAAACTCCACAGTCAAAAAATAGAACTAATCAAAAAACATTAACCTAGGTCTGTATGAGCTCAAAAAATAAAATAGAACTTCATGATGTGGGAGAGGGCAATAATAAAATAGATACTGAAAAAAGCATCCTGGTTACCACCTGGGCTTGACTCTTCTTTTGATATCCATCCCTCTTCCCGTAACTTGCTTATGGGTCTGAAGGTATTCCCACAAGCAAGCCCCAAGGATTTTTACATTTGAAATAGGCCTTAATGGTGTTCATTATTCATTAGCCTCCAGGTGTGGGAGAAACACTGTCACAGATGTAAGGATAGCTAAATTGGAGTTCTGGATATCAGCTGTTATGGATTTGAGCCAAATCATCTTCTTTTTGGTCTGTAGAAATCGCTTTAGTTAGTCTCTCTGGAATCCAAATTGGCTGCTGTTCTCCCTGTGGAAACACACAAATAGACCCCCGACACCAGACAATCACTGGGTCAGGACCTTTCCATTGTCCTGTTAGAATATCCTTCCAAAGTACCTTGGGCTTATGTACATTTTTTGGACACATATACCTTTCCGTAGCACTAAGCCCTGATGAATCCAAATTTAAAAAGTTTAGAGTAAAAAGGGTTATTTTAAGTTTATCTTTGGGGGATGTATACCCCTTCCCAATTCCTTTTTTTTGCTTTAATAAGTACATTTTAATAATTTGATGAGCTCTTTCAACTATGCCTTGTCCCTGTGGATTGTATGGGATTCCTGTTATATGAGTAATGCCAAATGATGAGCAAAATTGCTTAAAAGAGGTAGAAGTATAGCCAGGGCCATTATCTGTTTTTAACTGTTTTGGAATGCCCACAGTGGCAAAATTTTGTAAGCAATGAGCTATAATATCTTTAGTTTTTTCTCCAGCATGAAAGGAGCCCATCAAAAATCCGGAAGAAGTATCAACAGTAACATGCAAATATTTTAATTTTCCAAATTCTGGCAAGTGTGTGACGTCCATCTGCCAAATATGGTTAGGTATCAGTCCTCTAGGATTGACTCCAAGATTAACTTGTGGCAAAAAGGTCACAGAATTTTGACATTGTTTTATTATTTGTATAGCTTGTTTCTTAGTTATTTTAAAATGCTTTTTTAAAGTATTTGCATTGACATGGAAGGATTTATGAAAATCTGTAGCTTCTTCTAGCGTAGAAAAAAATTTGTATGTCATGTGTACTTTTGTCTGCTAAATCATTGCCCAAACTAAGGGCTCCAGACAATCCTGTATGTGCCCTGATATGTCCTATAAAGAATGGATCTTTTCTGTCCCAGATTAGACTTTCTATAGTGGAAAACAAAGAGAAAACAGTAGAGGAAGGGGAAATCCTACCAGCATCTTCAAGGGATATTATAGCGTTAACTATATACTGACTATCGGAAAATAAATACAGAATCTTTAAACATCACAAAAGCTTGTAATACTGCATTAAGCTCTACCTTTTGATCTGATTGTTTGGGTACTAAAAATGTAAAAGTTTGATCAGGGGTAACTACTTCTGTACCATTATTTGACCCATCAGTGAATATATTTGGAGCATTCATGATAGGTGTTTTTCTTGTCATTTTTCAAAGAATTACAGGATGCGATGACCAAAAAGACAACAAAGGATTGGATGGTAAGTGGTTATCAAATGAAACATTAGATTTGCACATGATTATTGCCCAAGTATTTAACTCATTAGCTAACTCATCAATTTGATCCATAGTATATGGAGTAATAATTTTATTGGGAGAAATTCCAAACACTCCCTTTGCTGCTTTTATTCCTTTGAGTATTAATTGTCCCACAGCCTCAGGATACCTAGTAAGGATAGTGTTAGGAGAATAAGATAAATGTATCCATAATAATGGACCTTCTTGCCAAAATACTCCTGTAGGAATATTTTTTGTTGGTAGTACAATAAATAATAAAGGCAAACTTATATCAATTCTATCCAAATGCATATTTTCCATATATGTTTCAATGAGTTTTAATGTCTTTCTTGCTTCACGCATTAACATGCGGGGTGAATTTGGATCTGATGGACCTTTTAGGATATCAAATAAAGGTCCCAACTCTCCTGTTGGTATACCTAGATAAGGCCTTATCCAATTTATGTCTCCTAATAACTTCTGAAAGTCGTTTAGTGATTTGAGTCGATCTACTCGTATTTGAATTTTTGGTGGATGGACCATGGTTGAGGATAATAGAAGTCCTAAATAATTAATTGGAAAATTTAATTGTACTTTATCTATTGCTATCTCGAGATTATAATTTTTTAATAAGTTTGTAAGTGTGGCATAACATTCTAGCAATGTGTTTTTAGCTTTGTGTGCTAATAATACATCATCCATATAGTGAAATATTTGTAGTTCAGGATTTTGATTTCTAAGTGGCTGGATTGCTTTGTTAATAAATTTGACACATAGTTGGGCTGTTAGCCATCCCTTGAGGGAGTACTTTCCATTCATATCTCTGATCAGGACCTTCATGATTCAGTGCAGGGATAGTAAATGCAAAACATGGACTATCCTCAAGATGAATTGGAATTGAAAAAAAAAAACAATCTTTAATATCTATAACTAAAACATACCAGGTTTTTGGTCAAGCAGACAATTGAGGAATCCCCGATTGAGCAGGTCCCACAATAACCATCTCATTATTAATGGCTCTTAAATCTTGCCATAATCTCCATTTACCAGATTTCTTTTTTATGACAAAAATGGGAGTGTTTTAGGGAGATACAGAAGGTTGTATATGTCC